ACAATGTTCAGTGACAGAGTTACAGGCAGGTTAAATCAAATCTATAGATGTTTTTATCTCAGGTAAGATTTTTACAAGTGCTAACAGAGTTGGAATACACTATTTTTACTTATTTGTAATTATTCTTAACAGATACTAACAGAAAATATATAATGATGAGTTTTAGCAACTACTAACATGATTCAAGACATAGCATTTTAGAGTGATGCTGTATAACACTTATGATGACTTGAGAAATTTGGTGCATGGATAAAAACCGTAAGTGTTGCTGATAAAATGCTAAATGTGATGACTCAATTCAGAAAAACTTGACAGGAATAGGATGATGGCCGGAAGGATGGACTCTGTGTGGCTGGATGCCAGCAGGGTGTTGTGCTGTTTGTGTCTCTTATCACCTGTTCAGGTTATCTGAGCTGAAGAAGCTCCAGGAAGGTGAACGCAGGGGTCACCTGTGAGAGTTTGTGATCAACGTTCCCAGAGAGGTGTCAGGTGAGTATGAACCACTGACTTACCCAGAATGAATGATAATTATATATTGATAATGAAAATTATAGAAATTTAGTTAGATGACTGGAGTTTTGTGATATTGTGGGAGAAGGATGTTTGTTCTTTTTTCTGATAATGCAGCTTCAAACGAGTCGCTGACAGGGAGGTTGAGAGTCAAATGACAGGGGTTTGTATGATGGAGGCCGGACAGATGTTCGAGGAAATGCCCCTGATGAGGGCGAATGGAGTGGAGTGCCAGGGAGGAAAAAGTCACTGGTTCTACTCCCTGAGCTGAGAACATCACACATCAAATGAGGGTGTTATCATTTATCATGAATGAGGGTTCTTTAAGGTTCATACTGACAGTTTATTATCATCAAATTAACATCACTTATCATTGTTAACATCTAATTAACGTTACCAGCACAGTAAAGAGTTTTTTACTTTCTGATTTTACTTTTAAAAAAATTGATTGAAGAGCATTTTTAGAATATAATTTTAGCCAATCAAACACTTTGAAACTGTGAACTTACTGATTTTATTAAGCTATGAGTTAATAAATGTTTAATGATAGACTAGAATTTTTGGATTTTTACATGTACTGAAATGATTATAGAACACTGTTTTGACATTACAAACATTTATAGGTTGTGTTTACAATGCTAATCAATTAATGATGTGATTATATCTAAAGCTAAGTCTTGGGGATTTTTGAACTTTAAATTAGAACAACTGCTATTATGGATAAAAAAGCAATATTTTGAAAGTAGAGTTACAAATTTCCTATCTGTTAATTAATTCCAAAACTGATTAGTTGAATGTGGGAGAAGAAAATTACAATTTTTATTTGAAACTAAAAAGGTTTTAGAGTGAACTTTGTAGTATGTCAGGACAGCTTTGCTGTGGACACACGGGCCACCATTTATGTTATTTAAAACACGAACAGGCCACTATTTATGTAGTGAGCTAAGGCGTTAACTTCACTACTAATTAATTATTCTTAAAGCTAGTTCAAGCACAAAGATATTAATTGTTTAATTATAACGGATTATTTCTTTTTTGAGTTAAATTTCTGCCATGTGACCCAGATAACTAGTGAGTGGATTGTTTAATCAGTGACATGAGACGCCATTTTATCTTTGACCCATCAGAATAAATGGGGTCATTTATTTAACAGAATCAAAATTTACCATCAAAACATGTACACATTGATTTGCTGATCTGTTTCTGATTAATAAACTTGGCACGCTTTACTAACAAGACAACAGGACATTACTGGTTGAGACTGATTCATCTCTGAAGGCATCGAGCTTGATTTACTGGCGAATAGCAAAGTTTAAGAGGAGAAATAGATTTAAGGAGTAAGTTTAGATTTAAGGATAAAAGTTATGTGTTGAACCAGAAAATGGCACCCTTCCTCCGACCTCATCTCAGCCCTCTGGTACACTCAGTGCGTCAACGGCTTGTTACCTGAGCAGAGGATACTTCAACTCCGGAACAGAGGTCCATTGGCATGCTACATTTTCAGCGTCTCTGGTCAGGGTGGCTGAGAATCTTTAGAAGTAGTTCCATATGCTCCGATCAACAGAATAAGCTTCCTTTGAAGTTGAGAGCATGTACTGCTCGGGTTGAGTGCACAGCGATGCGAGCTGTGACTCCGCTGAAATGGAGGGACCCTTGGCACATGCTCCAATCCATCCGCTACTTAGTTGAGTCTCATCTCTGACTGAAAGTTCCAGCAAGACTGGAAAAGACTTCGAAGAAGACTGAAGAATAAAGACTCCGACTTCAACTGAATAGTTCCAAGAAGTGTTGCCTTTTAAAGGGGTATCCACTTCCTGTTACGTGGTACTTCCTGATTGGTTGAAACAACCAGCAGGGGTGTGGTTCTAGCGATTTTAGAGGGTCACTAGAAGTCAAGAGACAGCAGGAATGTTTAAGAACGGTTAGTACAGACGGAGAAATGTTTATGAAGAGATGAGACAAAGCAGGTGCCAGCAGAAGTTATTTACTGTCTGCGAGTTTTAGAAACAAGACACTTCGTTCTAATAACTCGTCTCTGACTTTCGACCGACATCCACTAAAACTCCTCATTCAGACAGAAGACTAAATGCACACTTACTTCATAAATAGGCATTTAACTGTATGATCAAAAATCTAGTGAGGTTTAAAAATCATTAATACTGTTTCACAATTGATTTAAATGAGTGGTTCACTTCAACATTTAGAAATTATATGAACTAAACACACTTTTGATTATCAAGATATTTTAAAATAGTAATGATAATATAAAAAGAAGAGTGTTCTTTCAATTGATTAATTCAGGATACAATTAAATAGTCTCTTGAGATAATTTGTATTTCTGGATTCAAATCAATGAAATAACAGTTCTTGTCCCCTGAAGGTCTTCAGAGACAGATTGTTGTCGGAGGTTCACTACAACTTCTTGATGTTATAACTAAGTGGACCTTCCTAGGAGTGTGTTACAACCTAACAGGGAGGAAGTCGAACACTGATGATTATAAGGGAAATTTAACAGATAATATGAAGCTAAGTTCTGGGTAAATTTTAACAATTAAATACAGAAGGGTAATTTAGAATTGTGGTTAATTTGAATGTTGAACTCAGCATTAATTGGGTGACAGGTCTTCTCCAACTACTTTGAGAGATGAGATGATTGATGGACTGACTAATTATGGGGTGGGTTAGATATTAACGTTTACAGTTTATTTACAGTATTATGAAGTGTTATGGTGATTTTTTTTCTCTTAAAATTAACATGGTTGAACAAGATACTTTTGCATGGTACTTAGCTAAATATTATCTTTTAATGATTACTTGATGATTTGTGTATGTAATGAATATTTGATGAGTGAAGACATACAAATTTTTCAAGAGCAGATCGTGATGAAACAACGCCACTAGATGGTGCAATTGCAATGATAAACTTAATTTTTGATATTGTTTTCTATGAAATAACAAATTTTTTACAGCTGGGCCATGACGAGAGACCAGAGGATTTTGATAAATACATAAAATGGGGTTTTATAATATAGATTTTCCAGGGGGTGAACTTATGACATTTTTCAATCTAAATTGGGACTAAATTGAAGGGTGGTGGAAAGGGTGAATTGATTTGTTGGTTAATTGGGAATGTTTTTATATTAGATCACCGGGGGAGTTGGTAGTTTGTTATTTACATACAATATGCACGTTAAAACACGTTAATTGTGTGAATAAAATCTGATTTAAACAAACACATTTTCTGCTGTGACAGGCTAAAAATACCGGCAGCGCTCTGTGCAAATAAAATGGGTATTGACTGAAGGGAGCACAAAGTTTTTCTATTTTTCTTTACCAGATGGACGAAGTGGACCAGGCCTGCCCTCTGAGTCAAAAAGAGAAGATTCAGGTTCTACAACTGATGAACATCTATTAGATAAGAACGCTTCTTGAATTAGGACGCCTCCTGCAATTATTAAATCATATATTTAGAGCTCAGACTTAGACAAATGTTAGAAATTTCCATTATGTCATATTGCACCACACCAGGGGATGCTGAAGTCCTAGACAGATGTCCAGGGCTGGGTCAGGCGACCTGAGGCTGGCAGGTCTGACGCTATAGCCTGTAGACATCTCCCGCCAACATATAAGGAGAAGTTCACAGAAGGGGAGCTCAACCTGTCAGTGTATGAGGGGGCGTGGCTAAGTCTGATCTCAATGGATCTTATGTGATTCTGATGTGTTAGGAAATATGAGACGGTGCTTCAAAAGCCTTTCTATGTGATGTGGCAGATTAAACTCTATTCCTTGACTGATATTGAATCCCAGGGAGACTCTCTTAGAGCTGCTGGCCCAGTTTAACCCAGTCAGAACTGGGTCATAATTTCATTATAATCCCGTCTCTGAGCAGATCAAAACCATAGGACCAGTCTAGATAAGAAATATCCAACAACTCCCCCTGGTCGAGGGACCCTAAAAAAGGGTTCCCTCGAATGAACTGAGTTCAATACCGCCAGATAAGCAAGCAATTAATCATTTTCCTCTGGTTGAATGTAAAGGAGGAGTCTAGGACCCTATAAATGAGTAATGACACGGGACATCGGGGCTCTTCCGAGTTTGTGAACGCGTCACAGACCGGAGAGACCAGCACTGTGAATTGTATTCTTTTCCGGCCTTGATTTTAATACAATTGATAAAATGAAATTGACATTTCCTTGATTTATTGTTTAGTATGAGTTGCCACTTCTGAGGGAGATTCAAGCCGGGGGGAGAAGACATGGGCTGGAGGGGGTTTCCGGGTCCGGTGGCCCGCAGCCAGCTCCCATCTTTAACATAACCCTGCGGTGACATGCTTCGTTAAGACAAGACTGAGAACCTGATGGTTCACCTTTTAGTGGTGCTAATCATAGTGTCTGAACAGATTCCTCTGCTCCGGATGTTCTTCCTTCATGCTTCTTTGTGTGAGCACTGCTTAACTTTTCCCCTTTTTTCTTTCACAGATGACAGATTAATTATGCAGAATGTTTTTATTGTTGTTTTTAATGCTTTGGGAAACTTGCAGTTGCTCATGAAAACAATAAATATGAATACAAAGCAAAACATTTTCCTAATGAAGCACTTTACACAATGTACAAAGTTCTTTCTCCTCTCTTGCTTTTTGTTGCACTCTTTTGTACATTTCCAAATAAATGAACACAGCTTCATGCAGAAACCCTGAATGTGAAAGAAATGAACTAAAAGCACTTCTCGTGTAAATTTAAAACCTGCTAAGAGAAATAAAGGTGTTTTATTTCAAAGGACATTAAATGATGGAAAAGTGTTGTTTGCAATGACGGCTGCAGCCATGACAGAGAATCCCCAAGACGAGACCATCGTCCTTCTAGGGATTTAGAGTTTGGAAGCATCAGTAATCTGTGTCAGAGCCCTCGGCATTGTCCACATTGCGGGAGAGCATGTAGTTGTCCATGTCGATGGAGCGGCAGTTGTTGATAGCGTAGCGTAGCCTCTCAGCCATAACAGCCTGACTTGAGTACGGCGGCAGACGCAGCTGGAAGAAGCAGGTCTGAGAGGTCGGCAGGCTGTCGTACGGCTGGAAAACAAACACTCCAACAGTCAAAAACAAATCACCTTCATCTCTAACTAACATGAAGACATTAACAATGGCCTGCTGCCTTTTAACACTAAGATCAGCTTATGATGACGTGACTTACTGTCACTCTTCATAAAGCCAAATCAAACACTTTTACTTTGACTTCCTTTAGAAGCATTTTTAACTCACACTCTGTGCAATTCCTCTTTTTCTCACCATGTAAACAATTTCTGATGATGCAGAGAAGAGACTCCCACATGCACAACATATGTTCATGTATATGCACATTTAAATGGAGGTTTGGGCAAAATTCAGATTTTGAAAATCAAAGGTCCCTTCCATTAAATCATTTGTGCAATTTTTTATTTGAAGCAAATCAATGAAAAGTAAGAAAATCCACCATTTATATAATTAAAATGATGCCTTTCCAAAATGATTAAGAATGGAAGAAGCAAAAATATTAGTTTTCCAGTAGGGGTGCGAATATCTCAGTGTCTGGCAATCCGATTCAATTCTGATTTTTGGTGTTACGATACGATTTAAAATCAGTTTTTTTCTATTCGGTAACGATTTTTCTATTGAAATGGTCATTAATTTTGTTTCAATTATATAACTGACAAGCTGAAAAGATTAAACAACAATGCAAACAAATTGAACATTTATTTAAAAATCATTTTAGGTTCCTTACTGTACACATTTTTTTTATTCATTTTATATTTATACCAAAAATAGGAAAAAATATAGGAGTGGATAAAATTCTGTAACTTAAATTACCAGTATTACAGGTCCTTCTCAAAAAATGAGCATATTGTGATAAAGGTCATTATTTTCCATAATGTAATGATAAAAATGAAACTTTCATATATTTTAGATTCATTGCACACCAACTGAAATATTTCAGGTCTTTAATTGTTTTAATACTGATGATTATGGCATACAGCTCATGAAAACCCAAAATGCCTGTCCCAAAAAATTAGCATATTTCATCCCACCAATGAAAGACAAGTGTTTTTAATACAAAAAACACCAACCTTCAAATAATCATGTTCAGTTATGCACTCAATACTTGGTCGGGAATCCTTTTGCATGAATGACTGCTTCAATGCGGCGTGGCATGGAGGCAATCAGCCTGTGGCACTGCTGAGGTGTTATGGAGGCCCAGGATGCTTCGATAGCGGCCTTAAGCTCATCCAGAGTGTTGGGTCTTGTGTCTCTCAACTTTCTCTTCACAATATCCCACAGGTTCTCTATGGGGTTCAGGTCAGGAGAGTTGGCAGGCCAATTGAGCACAGTAATACCATGGTTAGTAAACCATTTACCAGTGGTTTTGGCACTGTGAGCAGGTGCCAGGTCGTGCTGAAAAATGAAATCTTCATCTCCATAAAGCTTTTCAGCAGATGGAAGCATGAAGTGCTCCAAAATCTCCTGATAGCTAGCTGCATTGACCCTGCCCTTGATAAAACACAGTGGACCAACACCAGTGGCTGACATGGCACCCCAGACCATCACTGACTGTGGGTGCTTCACACTGGACTTCTGGCATTTTGGCATTTCCTTCTCCCCAGTCTTCCTCCAGACTCTGGCACCTTGATTTCCGAATGACATGCAAAATTTGCTTTCATCCGAAAAAAGTACTTTGGACCACTGAGCAACAGTCCAGTGCTGCTTCTCTGTAGACCAGGTCAGGCGCTTCTGCCGCTGTTTCTGGTTCAAAAGTGGCTTGACCTGGGGAATGCGGCACCTGTAGCCCATTTCCTGCACACGCCTGTGCACGGTGGCTCTGGATGTTTCTACTCCAGACTCAGTCCACTGCTTCCGCAGGTCCCCCAAGGTCTGGAATCGGCCCTTCTCCACAATCCTCCTCAGGGTCCGGTCACCTCTTCTCGTTGTGCAGCGTTTTCTGCCACACTTTTCCCTTCCCACAGACTTCCCACTGAGGTGCCTTGATACAGCACTCTGGGAACAGCCTATTCCTTCAGCAATTTCTTTCTGTGTCTTACCCTCTTGCTTGAGGGTGTCAATGATGGCCTTCTGGACAGCAGTCAGGTCGGCAGTCTTACCCATGATTGTGGTTTTGAGTAATGAACAAGGCTGGGAGTTTTTAAAAGTCTCAGGAATCTTTTGCAGGTGTTTAGAGTTACGTCGTTGATTCAGATGGTTAGGTTAATAGCTTGTTTAGAGAACCTTTTCATGATATGCTAATTTTTTGGGACAGGCATTTTGGGTTTTCATGAGCTGTATGCCATAATCATCAGTATTAAAAGGACCTGTAGGTTAATTTAGTTGCCTGAATTTTTCTAAAAAAAATAAAATAAATAAAAATCTAGGAACAAATAATTCATCCATCATCTTTATCCACTTCTTCCTATTTGAGTCACTGGTGTCACTGGTGCCCATTTCAGCCATCACTGTGTGAGAGGCGGGGGACACCTGGACAGGTCTCCAGTCTATCACAGACAAATAATTCAAAATATGTAAATATCAAAGTAAACAGACTTCATCCTACCATACATAGTACATTAACCTTTAACTCAACATAAAATACAGACTTCAGTTATTTTTCACCATATTGCTCTAACATTTGTTATATTTTCAAAACTTAACCTAATATGAAATATACAGACTTCACTCTTAACCATATTGATTCAGATTTAGTAAATATTTAACAAAATTTCAAAACGTTGGTTACGTACTGTAACCCCAGATTCTATGAGTATAAGCGTAGCCCTTTAAGGCTGTCGCTTAGAGGGTTTATCCCGATATGCGTAGCATTGCACTGAAAAATTTAGTCCACGCCCACCTGCTGTGTGGGCCCCACCCGGTCCGTATAAATTACGTTAAGAGCGGGAAATCGGCTCCCAAAATAGCTTTTTCTTCAGCCATTTAGGAGCCATTGAGGCCTGACGCTTAAAGGGCTACGCTTATACTCATAGAATCTGGGGTTACAGTACATAACCAACCTTCTATTTCGTATAGGCTTCGCCCTTTAACCTTCCTACTATGTTAGGGTCCGTAGTGACCCATTTTAAATTTTAAATCATGATACTGTCTTTTAAATATTTTTTTTTTGCATCAAGGCTTTTTGACTTTGTCTGGAACCTTTTATTTAAATAAAAAATATATATATTTTTTTCACTAAATTTAATTTTTATTTTTTATAGAACAACACGCACTTGCCGCGCTGGGGTCATTTGTGACCCAGTTATGGTATAAGACTATCAACCAATAATCAGTGTCAAAACTGAAATCATAAACACACTGTGACCTCACTAACTTTGTCATACATATGTTAGGGCCTTCTGTTTTTACCTGTTTGTCTACTTCACTGACCAAAACATCCCCATTTATCCATACTACTTTTATTGATAAGTCCCTCATACTCTGCTCCCAAAAACTGAAAAAGTTCATCCAGCTGTAGATGCAGAGACATGTTGAGGCATGCCCATGTAGAGATGAGCCTACCTGGATAGCCATGCCCATCTTGATAGGCAGACCTAGATAGACACACCCACCTGGGTGTGTCTCTACATGGGCATGTAGAGACATGTAGAAACAGACACTCCATTTTACCTAGAGCTTGGCTGCATACCAAAATGAAGAGAAGATTCACAGTACAAGAAGCTCTAGATCACATCCTTGCTGAAAATGATGCAGAGGACACACCTAGTGACACAGATGAGCCAGTTTCTGAGGAGGACGATGCTATTGAATATGAATCAGAGTACACAGACTCGTCGGATGAGGAGGGCACAGGTGCTGAAGCTGCTCCTGTAACTGAAACCTATAAATCCCAAAACTTGGAGTGCGATTCCTCCTGTTTCACGTGGCAGGGAAGCTGCTGAAAATGTTATGAAGATGACCCCTGGGATTACAAGGTTTGCTGTGACACGAGTAAGTGACATCAAGACATGCTTTGATTTGTTTATGCCATTGTCACTAAAGAAAGTCATCATTGCTATGACAAACTTCGAAGGGAAAAAAGTTCACGGTGACACTTGGAAGGACATTGATGAGGAGTGCCTGGATGCTTTTATTGGTGTTCTTCTTCTCGCTGGCGTGTACAGATCCAGCAATGAGGCCCTTACTAGTCTCTGGGATGTGTCCACAGGCATGAGTATTTTCCGCGCAACAATGTCACTTCAGACCTTTCAAATGATCTCAAGAGTCCTCAGATTTGACAACAGAGATACTAGAGCACGGTCTGACAAGCATGCTCCCATCAAAGACGTCTGGGATAGATGGGTGAAGCTCCTTCCACTGATGTTCAACCCAGGACCAGAGGTGACAGTGGATGAGCGTCTTCTCCCTTTCCGTGGAAAATGCCCCTTCCGGCAATACATGCCCAGTAAGCCAGGCAAATATGGCATAAAAATCTGGGCAGCCTGTGATGCGAAAACCAGCTATGCCTGGAATCTACAGATTTACACAGGCAAACTTGCAGCTGGCATCCCTGAGAAGAATCAAGGAAAACGGGTAATCCTTAAAATAAATAAATATACATGGGTCAAAACTTACCCTTAACACTATAAATGTTACTATGGTTAATAATATTAAAATAACAAAATAATAAGACAAATTTATTTTAGAGATGTGTTCTAATACTTCTTAAAAAAACACAGTTTTGAGGGCATTTTTTGGCTGATTTAAGACGGGTCACAACTGACCTGTTCACATCATAAGTGCGTGCGGGATCTCGCCCCGCTAGGAAGGTTAAGGCTGTCGCTGATGGGTTAAGGGCGAAGTGGATGTTGTCCTCACCTCACTGGGTCCAATCGAACACCGTATGAAGCAGAAGCTTGCCCAAATATGTCTTGTCACTCAGCTCCCCATGTGCGTAATTACGCATTGCGTATTTATGTGTGCCATGCACAGACACATGTTGTGTAACTATGCGTTCTGAATGCATGAACGCCCCGGAAACTTCAACGGGGAGGGAAAATATGCTGAAAAGAGCCATGAACCAACCGGTTTACGGCTGAACCGTATGAACAGATTAATAA